GCCGGACGCCCGCCCGCTGCTCGGTGCGCGTCCTCCGCTCCATGGCGCTGCTCGTGCGGCTGCTGGCCGTCGCCCTGGCGCTGGCTCTGGGTCCCGCCGCAACCCTGGCGGGCCCGGCCAAGTCGCCCTACCAGCTGGGACTGCAGCACAGCCGGCTCCGGGGCCGCCAGCACGGGTAAGCATGAACGCCCCGCGGGGAGCAGAGGGTCGCTTCGCCAGGCTGGGAGTGCACGCCGCGGGGCGCATCGAAGCGGGCTGGGGGGGCGGGGGACAAAGCCAGAGCGAAAAGCGGGCAGCTTGGGGGTGCTCAGAGACCAACCCTGCCCGCGGCGGAGGGAGGTGGGTACCATGCAGGGAAGGACCCCGGCGGGCTGCTTTGTAGAGGAAAGGGAGCGGTGGGAGGGGACTGACCTGCGACCCCCGACTCAGGCCAAGAGCCTGAGACGAACCCGCGCCTTCAACCTCTCCTCCCAGCTCATAGGAAGAAAGGGGAGTTGGCAGCTCTCTGGCCAAAATCATCATGGGAAGGTGCCCAGGGCTAAGTGGAAGCCCAAGTGTACCTTTTCCAACCCAGCAGGGTCTCTGGCCAGCGATTCAGGACATGAGTCTAGGGTCGCACAGGTGGTGGCATTCAAGGCGCCCCAGGCTCCTGTGCACCTGGCCAGGACCACTACTCACCACCCAGCACCAGACAGTCTCTGCGCACAGCAAGGGCAGTGTGAAACCTCCTCCCTGCCGAATGAAGAGCAGGAAAACGCACTGGACACTTACACACATTGTGCAGATGAGGAAACTGAGTCCTGAGAGGTCACACTACTTTCCCGCCATCTTGCAGTGTGCGCTGGAGCCAGGATTGGAGTCTATCTTAAAGTAGTAGCTGCTGTGTTTAGTAGGGTTTTGTGAATGTGGGCATTATCATTGCGGGTGTTCCTCTGACATACTGAAGATGTGTTGGCTTTAGGAAGGCCCGACCTGATAAAGACCCTGGCATAGACCTAGGCAGAGGTGGGCAATATTTCTACAGACAAAACCAGGCCACACCTGCTTCACACATAGCTAGACTTTGCTACAACTTTCAGTCTACCTGGTTCCACCAACTTCTCCTTCACAACGAGGTAAAACTACATGTGAACAGAGTGGTGTAGTGGCTCCTCAGAGAAAGCCCAAATGCCACTGGTGTCTGACATCCACATCCCCGGGCAGTGCCCAGACCTCCAAGAGACTGGGCAGGTCTGTACTCAGATCAAAGATCATTGTTGGGGGTGATAAAATTGACTTCATAGGCCCTGAGAGAGCCTTGGCTTCCCAAATCTGTGAGTGCTCTGGGGCAGGTATAGCTATCCCTTTTAGGGAGTAGTTGCCCTTGTTTCCTCTGCTTGTGGCTTTATGGTCTAACTTGGCCTTTCAAGTGTTCAGGGTTTCCGGGGAAAGGGGCTATTGGGATCATTCTGGACACCCTGCAGAGGGAAATCAAGCCAGGCCAGGCCATAGCCTCAATACCGTCCCGGAAAGAGACCACAAATGACATTCTGGGGTTTTTAGGGAAGAGAAAGAATTAGCTTTGACTTAGGCTATGTATACAAGAAAGTGAGGGGGCTTGTCAGAAAGATGGGGGGTGTGAGGCCTCAACATCAAAATGGAAGCAACTGGCATTTTTATGATCTCAGCCCGCCTCACCTTTGGTCCGTCTGCCTTTCTTGTCAATGAAGCGTGTTATGTGTGGGTGCCACAGTCTGCCTGGGAGGTTTCTGTTTCTTCTGTGTCTTAGTCACTAAGTCAGAAGAAGACCCCTATAAGCATGCCCTGCAACACTGTCACCCATAAGGACACCTCTGTACACAGCCACAGTGAAGGGTCCCCAAAGATATTGAGGGCTGTCCACCAAGAGCCATCTCTATAGTAAACAATCTTCTCTTCAGAGCCCAGAAGAGACACTGATCAGCTGGAAAATAGGGATTTGTTTTTTGGCTTTTTGTTCATTTTGTTTTAATGCAGATGCTCCTGATTATGAGTTTCAGATATGAGATCAACTTCCTCACCATAGTCCTGCAGGCCAGTCCTCTTGATTAGCTTCTTGCAGTGCAATTGGAAAGGCTTGTAGTCATCTGCCATGGGCAGAATGATCTAAGAAGTCACAGGAGTAGTTCTCCCCTTGCAAAATCGGGATGCTCAGGCACACAGGCCGTGACAAAATGGTTGCAGGCGTGATTGTGTTTACTCTGATCTAACTGTCCCTGAACATACCACAGGGCTGCCTGGTCTTGCACACTTGGGTGTGGCACCCTGTGCAAATGGATAACCTTGTTCAAGCTCCAGGCTTCATTCAAAGTGAAAACTAGTGAAAGGAAAGCTTCTTTACTATTTTATGACATGAAGGAAGAAAGAATAATGGTGCTTTGCTTATGTACAGCATGTTATCACCCATCACCAATTTTGCTTTCATCTTCACCACAATACAGTGAGATCTATTGTTCATGTTCCCATTTTACAGATGGTGAAACTGCAGTTTAGTGAGATGGAGTGACTTAGTTCAAACACAGCATGCCATTGGGAGAGTAATAACTATGACTTGGTCTGTTGACTCCCAGCTATATCTGTGTGACTATAGGGAAGGGAAAAACATAATACTGAGAGAGAAGTAAAAATGCAATCACACTTCCGAATATCAGCAACCAAAAATGGAACTGAATTTCCTGAAGAACTTGGTTTTCAAATCCAAGTTGAACAACCAGTGCCATGCTCAAGGCTAAAGGCCCAGCAATGGCTTGTTCATTTTGATTAAACTTCAGCATAAATGTTTTATGTGCACAGTACCCTCATACTCCCTACTGTGAGAGGGAGAGGGTCACAGCCACCCCAGCCTTGCCCCTGCCACAAGGACAACAGCTGTAGAAACGCTACAGAGGAATGATGGAGCCACATCCACAGAAACTCACTGAAGATTCACCAGACACCTACGGAAAATTGCAGGGAATTTATTGACAGTAATTGTTTTCTGTTTGGACAGATAGAAGAACTTCTGGGATTGTACAACAATAGATAGGAACCAGGGTTGGAGTATGGTCAGTGGGGACACTTCAGTGTTATTTGGGGACTGTCTAACCTGTGAATCTTAGGCAGCAAATAGGGAGGACAGGCGTTTAGAATTCTGGAGGCTGTGGGCATTTGGTCAGCCTCAGAGACAACCAGGGAGGCATGGGCCCCACCTTCACTGGCCTGTGGTTCCCTCTCCAGCCTTCACTTCTCTCACTCCTAGGTTCCTACATCGAGTCACTAATACTCATTGTTTCTCCTTAACTCACTCACTTTTGCCTATTGTATAAATAACTGGACAAGAGGTGATAGTAAGTATGGTAGAAGAGACAGGGTGGGGAAGGAAAGGGTCAGACTGAGCTCCCACCCAATAACCTGACTCTGAATATTTGAGAAGTGTTCAAGTTCCTGTAACCAAAATGATAGTGACAGTAGGTATAGTTCTCGCTGCACATGGGTGTCTTCCTGAAAAGTACCCTGCACATCAAATGATGTCTATGGGTTGCATTTTTAAAGCAACAGCGGAATTGATGTTAGAGAAATGAGCCACCCTTTAGATGACACCTGAAGTCCCCTGAGCCTGGAAGTTTTGTGAAGGCCTCAGTATTATTTCTATGACTTGTAATGCAGTCATATGACCTGCCTACCTCTGGCTCAGGAAGGCTGATCCCCTCCTGAGTCACCACACAGCCACAGTAGCCTCCTCTCCCCAGTTGTTCCTGGTCTGCTGAGCACTGTTTGGGTCATCAAGTCTTGGTACACTAGACCAAAACACACAAAAACAAAATCCTATGGCTCTGGGAAAGGCTTCTCAGCAGAAGCCTAGGACATTTGCACTCCAGTTTTCCATAGAGCTCTCAAGCAGTCTTTTGGTATGGTAATTTGGGGAGCAGCATTTTCAATAAGCTCATTCCAGGCTCCTACTACAACCTGACTGAGTGCTAGGCCCCATCTAGAATGTGAAAGACAAAACAAAACACCTGCCCTCAAGATTCTTTTGAGCACTATTGAAGAAATATTCCACTTCCATCAGTTATAGGATTCTATTTGGTACCCATTATCAAAGACTTGTATCCCAGATCAGAGGATGGAAGGCAGCATGTCATCTGGGACATAGGAAGAAGACTCTCTGGGGACCTGGGACTTGAGCTGTGGTCTAAGCAATGAACAACTCAGAGTTAAATGGGAGAGCACTCCCATCATGATCCTGATAGTAGTCAGCTGTGCCCTCTGGTTTATGGAATGGACACTCGCGATGGTTTGTCTTTAAGAGCTATACAGCTGGTCTGGGGATGTCTATATGTATGTAAGACATGTCTGTAAGGCTGCCTGGCAGATGCTGGGTTTTTTTGGGGTTTTTTTTGAGTTGGAGTCCCACTCCATCACACAGGCTGGAATGCAGTGGCACGCTCACGGCCATGCCAGCATCAACCTGCTGGGCTCTGGTGATCCTTCTGCCTCAGCCTTCCAAGTAGCCAAAACTAAAGATGCATGCTACTGTACCTGGCTAATTTTTGATTATTTATTGTAGAGACGAGGTCTCATCAATTTGCCTGGACTGGTCTCCAACCCATGGACTCAGGCAATCCACTCTCCTCAGCCTCCCAAAGTGCTGGGATTACAGGCTGAGCCACCAAGCCCGGCCAGCAGATGCTTTTATTTACACTTAAAATTGTGTCAAAGAAGCATCCTTACATAAAATTATACCAATGTGTAAGAAATACTTTAGCAATTCTTAATTTGGAAGGAAGCTTTCATGGGGACTGATGGGATTCTAGGTAGACAAGGCCAAAGTCTACCTCAAGTCATCCCTGGTACCAAGACTGAAATGACTGTCTCTCCTCCATCTCGGGAAAGTTTTAACAGCCCACGAAGACCAACATGATGGGAAGCACGTTGAGGTGGGGTGGACATACTAACCACCTTGCTAACTCTGGGTTCTGTTTTCAGCCCCAATGTGTGTGCTGTGCAGAAGCTCATCGGCACAAACAAGAAGTACTTCACCAACTGCAAGCAGTGGTACCAGAGGAAAATCTGTGGCAAATCAACGTGAGTATCTGTAACCACCCAGGAGGCCAAGTTGCGTGCATGCCGGCTGCAGGTGCCCCTGGGCCCGGGCCAACCTTCTAGACTGTCAGGCCACCTGAGAAGCCATGAAGATACATGTGCAAACGTGTCAGGGAGCTACGTGCTGGCCAATTTTGTTTTGCATTTTCAAGACTGCTGACAGGACTTGGATAAGATTATCAGGGCTGGTTTGGGATTGCAAGAAGCATGAAACACTGTGTGCTTATGTGCGTGTGTGTGTGTGTGTGTGTGTGTGTGTGTGTGTCTTAATTCTCACAAAATGATACAAATATGCAGTGGAGAAGCTATTTTCTTTTGTTTTCTGGAAAAGAAAGTCCGTTGGTGAATTTAAAGAGCATCATCCCGGCTCTGCAGTCCTAAGGTAAACACCCCCAAAAGACTTAGAGCCTAGACATATGTACATTATGAGACAGCATAGCATATTAAGAACAGTGGCTCAGACTCTCTGGTTCAAACCCTTGCTCTACCACTTGCCCAAACAAATTACTTCATCTTTAGAATCATCTATTACCTTACTTGTAAAATGAGAATAACAAAAGGACCCACCTTGTAGGGCTGTTATGAAGATTGAATGAAGTAATGTGCCTCAGAGATTGAACATGGTGCCCGGCACATAGTCAGTGCTTAGTATGCTAGCTGCTATTATTATTACTCTAGAATTTGCAAATATAGACCACACAAACAGAAGTAAGAGTGCCAATGGGGTGTGGACTGGTGTGGTTACAACAGGGCTTATTGGTACCTCTATTAGTAAGGAGGGAAGCGGCTTTCACCCCACTACCTAGCTCTCTGTTGGAAACAGGCTAGTGTGCATGTTCTAACAGAGTTGTGGGGAAATCTAAACTGTTTTGGCAATAACCATCAACCGATCTCAAAGCTGGCTCTCTCTGCAGATAGGAAGATATGCTATGCGAAGACTCCTGGGCTACTTGTGAGGGCCTGACCTTCCCCTTGTCTGCGTAATAGGAGGATTAAGAGACTTTAAGCCACTATCTTGAATACTTTCCAATGTTAGGAATTTTTAAGTTTATTGTTTATGACATTGCTTTTGAGCAGACATCTCCTCCAATTTAATAATCAACTGAAAGAAGGGAAAATGCTATTTCCTTAAAATGTACATGGAAATAAACGTCCCAGTGCATGAACCTGATTGTGTTAGGCAGTTATCAATCCTACTATGAACCGGGGGCATTAGGAACCATGACAGAGCTGAGGGGAGACCAGCAGTCCCTGAGCACCTGTTCAGGGCAGGTCTAGCATAGCGGGCCCCCTACCTGCTTGAGAGTCCAGCCTCCAAGATAAGAGTTGAGTCAACTAAGAGGACACACCTCCCAGGTTCAGTGAACAGATGTACAATGGCAATTCTTTTTTTTTTTCTGTATTTTTCTTTTTTTTTTAATTTTAAAGATGAGGGATACAATTCAGAATTAAGTATACAGTGGTCATTGTACAGATAAAGTTTGGGCCTCCCTTTGATCCCCACTTTGCCTGGTTTGAGATCAGGTACCCTTATTGATGTTGTGCCCTGCCCCATGACTATTCTTGCTGCTACAAACAAAAAGAGACTGTGCAAATCCTATGCATAGATTGCTATGATGCTCAAGTTAAAAAAAAAAAAACTTTAGTGCTGACGTGTACATATATTATCTACTTTTTTCATGTACATATATATATCTATTTTACATGTACATATATTATCTACTCAAATAAATGGCTTATTCATTACTTTATTAAACATAAAGTCAGGCCCCACATAATTGCTTCTTGGAAGATGACCAAGGTACTAGTGCCAAGCAAATAGCTCTTCTACATCTCAGAGCCTGGGATTTCAAAGAGTACCACCTTTTTGTTAGTTCAGATTTCTCTAAAAATGAGGCCATCACCATGCCCCTATTTCCCAATCTGATACTCATATAACTAAATGCATCTAGGGATCCACTTGTGATGGCCAGCTGGCCATAGGGTAGCATCTGCCTTGTTGTTTTCGGGGTGCTTCTCTGTTGAATCATTGCCTGACTAGCTGACAGTTTCTTGACAACATTCCCAGGCTGACACTGGATCAGTGATGAGCTGCCGTGGCTTATTGGCTTGTTACCTGCATCTTTCTCGCTCTGCGTGCCAGGACAAGGCATAAGCAGCAGAGCTGTGTGTTGATAAAATGTTCCTGATGGCTGAGTCTTCCCCTCTAGGGCAGGTTTGACTTTGGGAGTGTGGTGTTATGATGGTGCAGCACCCTCATCCACTGAATGCAGAAGGGAGTCCAGGCACTGAGAGAAGGAAGAAATGTATGGGCTAAGTGTGGTGTGGAAGTAAGGTTTCGAGTAGACTCAGGAAAAACCCAGTACCCAGTCCAGCTGCTGACTTGGTCTTGCAACGCCAGAAGGAGATGCAGTTCATTTTCAACTCTTGAGTGTAGCCATTGCTTTGGGCAGCTTCAAAAAGAGGAAACAAGGATAGAAAAACATGAGTTGATAGAAAACTTCATGATCCAGGACAAGAGAGGCCCTTCCTGAAACATCACATGCAACGTCCAGAAGGTGGAGCTGACTTGGAAAAGACCCAGAGAATTCAGAGAAGGGAAGAGGAAGAGGTTGAACCCATCTCTGTTCTCCCAGAGAGCTGAGTAAGAGTAGCACAGCAGGGATCCTTCCAAGAGACCTAGGAGAGACCAGTGAGGGGGCTGCTGTTTAACTACCATGTAGCCAGAATTAAGGGCCATGGGTAGTCAGGTGGGAAGGCGGGAGGGCTGTGCTGGCTAGAGTTGACGTCATCCTGGGAAAAGTGGGTACCTAGATGCATTTAGTTGGGAGAGGACCGGGAAAGGAAAACGGGAGGGTGGTGGTGACTGTCTCAGCCTGAGGCCAACATGAGCAGTGGGAGTTTTCTTAGCAAGACTCCAGAGAAGTGGCTGGAGCAGAAGTGTGTGTTGGGATGAAAGAGAGCCCTGTCACAGGGGAGGGGGACAGCACAAGTCACCAAGGGGCCCAAAACCAGACGATATTTCAACTTGAAAGCAGACGAGGGACACCAAAAACAGCAGGGAAGACTTTGCAGTGTGAGGTCACAGACACATAAGGACAGGCCTGGTGAAACAAGAACTTGGAGCCACTTGCCAGGTGCTGTGAGGACCTGGACTCCACCTCCCAGAACTGCAACTGGCCACACTCAGCACGCTGTCACCAGAGGAAGCTACGTTGTCTTCAGATAATAGCTTTTCCATATTTACCAAGGAAGAAAAGCCTGAGTCTTTGGTGCTGTGTGTCAAGATGACATATGGATTTTATTACAGGAGGTGATTAACAGTGGGCCCCTACTGAGTGGCTTGAGTGAATTTTATTAGTTGGAAATTAACATTTATTTCGGATCCTAAAGAGCATCAGAGTGATTCAATGGCTAATCCAACAAAGAGGGTTGTGGGGGGCACACGGTCAGCACCCCTCTCTGTGATTTCAGGCCCTTGGTTTGGTTAGTAGCCATAAACTTTTTACATGTGGCACCTTGAGCAGAGGTGCAGGAAATTGTGGTCAGGAGGCCTGGCTGCCTCTCGACAGGGCTCCTTTGTGCAGGCCCTGGGGAGAGGAGGTCTATTTAACAGCCAAGTCGGAGTTGACATCATGGGCCTGGAATAGTCATCGCAGAGACTCAGACATCATAAACGTGGCACAGGGAGGGCTGGTGTGGGAGCTGGTGGGTAGGGGTGGCAGTTATCCATTCCAAAAGTCTTGACTTTTTTTTCATGAGCAACACATTTCACAAGTACAAAAGCCATGCTCTGGAGCCAAGATGAGCTGGCAGGACACTCCCGTTTTTCTAGTAGCAAATGTTGCTGTGCCCAGGGGCTGAAATATTAATACTTCAGCACTGCGTTAACACTTGGAGATTTAACTTCTACTGAAGCCAGCCGATTCATGGTGGAGCTTTTCTATCAGCTGGCGGTGATGTTTCCAATAGATGTTTTTCTGGGCAGGGTACCCAGAGGCATCTGACATGAAATCGAAGAAGAGGCATCCTTTTCCTCCCTTTCCCATATCCCACAACCTTGGTCCCAAGAGGGAAAAGAAAAAGATGGTGAGAAGCCACCTAAGCTGTTCTCAGACCCACACAGCGCCTCCTTCCCTGTTTTGTATTCCTGTGCAGTCATCTGAGACCCTATGGATAATCTGCTCTGAGATCACTGAGATTGGACATACACCAACCCCCAGAGATTCACCAAATGCCTCTGTGGGGGCAGTGCTTCCTGAAAGTTCTATCCCATTCTGTAAACTAGGAGGCTGCATAGCTGACATGGAATTTTGTTCTTTTGAGTACTTCATGAACCCATGTACCACTTGGCTGATGCCCCCTGGTAGGTAGAAAAATGACCTCCAAAGATGTCTACATTCTAATCTCAAACCTGTAAATATGTTCTTTTTAATGGAGAGGGAACTTTGCAATGTGTGATTAAGTTAAGGATCTTAAGAGGGAGAAGATTATCTTTGATTATTTAGTAAATCCAATATAATCATGAGGGCCCTTATATAGGGGAGGCAGCAGGATCAGAGTCAGAGAAGGAGATAAGATAATGAAGGCTGAAGTTTGAGTGATATGACCACAAGCCAAGGAATGTAGGCGGCCTCTAGAAACTGGAAAAGACAAGGAATGGATTCTCTCCTACAACCTCTAAAAGGAATGCAGCCTTTGATTTTAACCCATACAGCCAATTTCTGACTCTAACCTCCAGAATTGTAAGAGGAATTTGTACTGTCTTAAGCCACTAAATTTGTGGTAATTTGCTACAGCAAACAATGGGAAACTAATGCAAGCCCTGTCAGTTGAGTTCTATACATGTATTATGGGGATTTATTTATTACTAGTAATATGATCAGTGGTCTAATGTAGAACATTGCTTTCAATGAGGTTATTATTAACTTAGTTTCAATTTTAAAGCTTATACCTGGAGTATTTTTTATAAGAATCTCAACAACAGAGCACTTAGTAAACATCAGGCATCTGTTAGTGCTTCTTATATGTAAGCTCATTCTATTCTCACCATCACCCTATAAGATCAATATGATTATTAGCCCATTTGCAGATGGGGAGACTGAGGCTCCAGAAAGCCTATGCTGCCGCTCAAAGTCATCCACTGGAAGCAGGGGAGGTCTTTCCACTTTCCTCTGCTGCCTCCAGGGAGAATTAAGCCTCTCATCTAGTGTCAGTGACTCAGGAGATACACAAGTGCAGGATCTGGGTGAACTATTGCTCCAGGTCTCTATAGCCCCAAACCTGTGACTGTGGGTCCCAGAGACAAGGCCTCCACGGGGTCAGAGAAGGAAATCTTTGACTCCGAGTCAGCAACCTTCTTCTGGTTGTTTGTTTCCTGCTGTCAGCAGGCTCCCCAAAACCCCTCATCAGATGAGGAGCATAGGAACTGAGGAGACACAATCAGTATCCAGGACACCCAAAATGCCCTCACAGACCACACACAAACAGGCTGCCACTTGTGTCCATTTTTTGAAGCCTCTGTGCTCATCACTAACCAGGCTGACCCCAGAGGAATGTCATAGTGGTTGAGACCTTTGGTAGTAGACAGTGAGTGAAAGCAAGCCCTGCTTTTCTACTGGGAGGCACAAGAAACTGCTCAGCTGCCTTTCCAAGGCTAGGAGGGCAGGAAGTGAAGCACTCCACAGGCAGTCTGTGGGGCATGTCACATGTCTAGATGCCATGGGTCTGTGTTTGCTCTGAGATTCCTCTTGGAAACCATGACACCTGTGTGGTTTACCTTCTGTCACAGGAGACCAGCTTGCAGGTCCATTGCTTGTTCCACTGACTTTCCAAGTCTAGTTAATTCTCCAGGTATTTACAGCCAGGATAGTGGTCCAAACCATGACATGTGCTTGGGAGAGAGTGATTGTTTTAACTTATTATGGTAACTTCTTGGAAAATTACTTTGGGGAGAGAAATATCAATACTTCTCTCTATCCAATCATGAGTAAAGTATCAGAGGAGAATGGAGGATATCTTCCCAAACATCTACATAGAGACTTTGGGTTGACACTATCTTTTGCCTCCTCCTTTAAATCTTCTAAATCAAGTGCCTTCCCTCACTTTCTTCCTCAAATTGTACTTCTGACTTGGGAAGCTGGAACAAAATAATTAGTAGCTCATTGCCCTAAAGGATCTACTTTTTCTGATCTGAGGTTTTTCGTTGTTAGATTGTATCTGGCCAAAGGGAAGCCATGAGCCTTTAATCAGAACTGCTTTGAGATTAGATTCAGGTTGTTTCTGTGCAGGAAAACAATGGGGCTGCAGGTGGGAGCCCCCCACCCCATGGTTTCTGTGTGTTCATCATAGAAGGGAACACGACTCTGTGATGACCCCCAGCCTGTCTCCCCACAGCATCCATGCTCCCCTAGGATTAGAGCCCAAATAGGGCGGCACACTGGGCTGAGCACAGAGTGAGTGGGGCAGGCCACTGTGGAGGCTGCCATCTCAGAAAGATGTGGTCAAGATTGTCTCCATGGGCTGTCTTCTCAGTCTGCCATTCCCAGCTGCCCTCTGCTTCTCTGGGACTGTGCAGACCAGTTCACGAGAGGACTGCTGATTTGTTGGGGCAGTTGGGAGCAGGTGGGCCACCGGTTGTGGTGCCTTTTCAACCCACTGGCTGCTGTACTCAGGCTGAAGGCCTGGCTGACCCCTGCACACCGAGAGAGCAGTGAAGATGCCAAACTGGGAACATCAGGCGGGCTGATGAGGGAGAGCCAGCAGGGAAGGAGGATTAGGAGAGAGCTTCTTGGCAGAGAGCCACACTTGGTTAACTAGGAATAAGCCTTTGGCTCGAGGAAGATTTGTGGCTTCGGGGACTGAGCCTCGGGTGTGGGGAGTGTGCTGCATTAGCAATCCATGTGTGGCAACAGAGTGTGTCCAACCACTGTGGGACACAGGTGCAGAAAGCCCACACAGAGAGGAACAGTGAGTGCTGACAAGGATTGGCCTCGATCGCTTTGGAGACACCACCTGTGTCTTCTAGATGTCAGACTTTCCAAATCCATCTGCTATCCTCTGGATATGTGCATTGTCAAGAGCAATGGAAAAAGGATTGAACTTGATGGAATATGAGGAGAGTCCCAGGTCTGCCCCTGCCTACCTGTGAACTCAAGAAACCTATTCACCCCTCAAAACCCTTACAACTTTCTTATCTGAGTTACTCTGCTCCAGGCTGAGACTTTTCTGCCTGAATCTGTTCCTTCCCCCTTCATCCCCCATTTCTCCTAGTGTTATTCTCTATACCCATTCCTCAACACACACACCCACGCACACTTGGCCACAGGAACCAGTAAGTTCACTTTTGGGAAGTTGGTCTTTTTTTGTCTTCAGTGAAATCCTGGTCAGATTGCTTGAGCTGTTCAGATGTCCTGTGGTTTTGGGGGATGGAACTCAGAAGCCAACATTTTGGAAAAAGATTCTTTGGTCAGAGTGGCTGGGGGCACCAAGCCATGGAGAATACAGAGCCCTTGTACCCAGGGAGCCCAGAGATGAGGACTTGAAGAATAAGCCTATTCATCCAATCGTGCTTCTCCAACTCCATGGACTTTCACATGGAAAGAAACTAAGTTGGGGAGGACTTGATCTAATCCCCCAGCCCCAGTCACAGAGCCTTAGTAGAAATACTAGGTATAGTAAGCCTTAGATCCCATACATGGGTGTCCTCTGATCCTATAGGTTCAAGGCTTAGATCTCTCCCTGAATTTAACTGTAAGAAGTTGGCAGACACTGTTCTTCTTTGAAAGAGTGCGTCTGTATCCCCTCGAAAGAAGCCCACTGACTAGAATTCTGAGTGTAAGATTGGAAGTTACTTTAGAAATCATCCAATTTAACTTCACCCCATTTCATAGATCAGGAAACTGAGGCCAGAGAGAGAAATGGACTTTCAAGTTCACCCTGCTAGTTACTGATGGATCATAAGCCAAGTGTTCTAATTCTAGTACTGTTTCTCCTATACCATGCTGCCTTTGAAAGTGTATCAATCAAATCTTACTTTAGCTGCAGAAGATGACTTTAGTTTCTAAAGATAAAATTATGGGTTTATCAAAGTTAATTCTGTTTAGCTCTTATAAGCATAAGGATGAAAGGTTTGAAAGGAACAGGATAGAAGGACAGCTGGAGAAAAAAGGAGGAAAAGGAAAGCAGGAGGATGGAGTGAGCAGGGTAGAGAAAAGTATACATAGCTTATCATTTCCCAGGGGACCATCTCTAGCAAAGTGACATGTGCAGCCAGCTGATCTGTCTTCGAAGCACTGCTCTAGATAATAGATGAACCAGGCTTCATCTGCTCTTAACTGAGTCTTCCCTCCCTGAGATGACTCCAGTTGAATTACCAAGAGCAGGCTGTCCCAGGCACACTGTCACAACCCCCAGAGCCTCCAAACCCATGTTTGTTCCCCCTCTACCTGTTTCTTTTCTGGTGACATCATTAGACATCCTGTGCAGGTCCCACAGTGAGCATTTCTATGGGAAAACCCTGTGCAGTTAAAGTCTGAGTTCTTTCCTGTCCCAAAGGGCATATCCATGTAGATGAAAGGAAAAGAGGATGTGGCTGTGGCATTTGGTCCCAGGCCTGCCAAAGAGAGCCTGTGCTCACTCCACCGCTGCAGGGTGGCCTTCATCAGAACTTGGGGGTTTGGATTTAAGCAAGTCTTTCTTAGTTGTAGCCTTCATTACACTTCCTTTCTTGCAGTGTTATTTGAAAGTCTCGGTCTTTTGTATTGCCCCAGAATATTGAGTTTGCTGAAGCTATGTGTTTCAGACCTCCTGACAGTGGTCAGTGTCTCATGATGGACTAGTCTGAGTTGGGAAAAGAGAAAGTTTTTAGTTTTCCTGAAAAAAATGATTTTAAAGGTTAAAACTGTCCACCACCAGTCTTCTGTTCATCCAAATGCAAAGAATCTTGTGAACTGGCAATATTGGCTGCCTTCTGGAAGGATAGTGAGTGGTTGAAGGATGAGGGTGAAAAGGGAGCACTTTGCTATAGAACCCTTTGCATATTTTCAATTTGAAACCATAAAATGTTTTTATAAATTAATTTTGTAACTTGAAGAAATTAAAAAAAAATCCTCATGAGAGGAGTTTTGTCTTTATTTTAATTTTAAAGAAGTTTAATTGTGATGATGGAGAAGAACTCGATGATCACGTATACACTACCCTTTTTGGTTATTAAATCAGTGAGCCAGAAGACCACGAGAGATTTAATCCAGTGACCACTGCATGATACACACATGCTTTTAACAAATGAAGAGACTGAGACCTGGAGAGAAGGTGGGACTGGCTGGGAGTGTCCCAGATAGTTAGTGGCAGACTCAGAGCCCGAACTGGGGCAGGGCTCTTTCTACTCCTCCTGCTTCCTTTCAGGAACACTAACCTTCGGGCTTCCCATGAGTGATGTAGAGACAAATTCTTGGTGTGCTATGTTTTCTAATCACACTGTTGAAGATGGGGCCAGAGTCCTCTGTTCTCCTGCTTGGCTTGTTGTAGGTGTTGGCAACCATCAGAAACGTTTTACAAAGCTGAGGAGGATGAGAAGCTCCTTTTTTGAGGAAGGCACAGATATGACTTAGCAGATGATCTCCTAGGAGGAGGGCGTTTCACCTGCCATTCCTCTTCCTCAGCCATGGAGGTGACATCCTGGAGGGGGCCCAGTGACCTGTGAGGGAGTGAAGCCCAGCCTAACACACGTTTGTGTGTCTCGTTACAGAGTCATCAGCTACGAGTGCTGTCCTGGCTACGAAAAGGTCCCCGGAGAGAAGGGCTGTCCAGCAGGTGAATCAGCCAGGCCTTGCCTGTTGGCATGGGCAGAGGGGAGAAGTGGGAAGAAGAGCAGCAGAATGTGACCGGGGTCTGTGGCAGAAGGACGTGTTGGCACTTTCTCCAGTGCTCACTAGCCCCCAGGGCTCACTGGCCTCCGCGGGGCCAGGGATGGAAGCTGGAAACAGTGTGTTTCCTGAACTGCTCCTTCCAGCCTCCTTACCGAAGCTGGTGGAGCCGACTCCAGTTCTGGCCTGCCTATGCTCTTCTCAGCAGGCACAGGCTCCTGGCCTTCTTGTCTCTGCCTGGGAGTGATTCCAAACCCATCCAGCAGGGTCAGCCTTATGGCCCCTTGGTTCCTGATTAGCCCTGCTAGGGAGCAGATGAGACAGCATGGTCTCCAGCTGGACTGGGAACCCTGTACTGTCACCACTTCCCTTTGCGTCTAAACGTGGCCCATTGGAGTTCTGTAGGGAGGAGAGTTGAAGGCCAGATGGGCTCACCCAGAGTCAGTGGAGGGTTCCACGAATGGCCACATTGGGCCCAAGGCAGCACAGTACCTATGAATGTTTTATTTATTTATTTATTTTTTGAGTTGGAGTCTCACTCTGTCGCCCAGACTGGAGTGCAGTGGCCGCTCCCGGCCACCGCAGCCTCGACCTGCTGGGCTCCAGCGATCCTTCCGCTCAGCCTTCCAAGTAGTTGGAACTACAGGCGCACGCTACCACACCCGGCTGGTTTTTATTTATCCTAGAAATGAGGTCTCGCCAAGTTGCCCACGCGGGTCTCGAACCTGCGGGCTCAGGCAATCCACTCACCTCAGCCTCCCAAAGCGTGGGATTACAGGCTGAGCAACCGAGCCCGGCTCCCTATGAATGTTTTAAGAGCCTTTCCTTCAGTGCCATGCACCAGTGACTATGCAGAGGAGTTAGTGTTTGTTTTACTTTTGAAATACTGTCATCCCTTGATATCTGCTGGCAATTGAGGACAACCCCCCTTACTGTTTTCAGATATCAAAATCCTCAGATGCTCAAGTCCCTAATTTTAAAAAATACCTAATGCAATGTAAATGTTATGTAAATGCTATATTTGAAAAAAATGTTCTATTATTCTGTTGTTCTTTTTAAAAATATTTTTGATCCATGTTGGTTGAATTTGTGGCTGCAGAACCCATGGATACAAGGGGCTGACTGTATTGGCTTTTTTTTGTTGTTAAAAATGTGAGGCTGAGGCCAGGCACGGTGGCTCAGGTCTATAATCCCAGCAGTTTGGGATGCCAAGGCAAGAGGATTGTCTGAGCCCAGGTGTTTGAGACCAGCCTGGGCAACTTGGTGAGATCTTATCTCTACAATATATCAAAAAATTAGCCAGATGTGGTAGTGCGTGCCTGTAGTTCTGGCTACTTGGAAGGCTGAGGTGGAAGGATGGCCTGAACTCAGCTGGTAGAGGCTACGGTGACTGTGAGTGTGTCACTTCACTCCAGCCTGAGCAACAAAGTGAGACTCTGACTCAAAAAAAAAAAAAAAAAATGTGAGACTGATTCAACTCTAGGTTAGAGTTAGAAAAAAGGAAAAAATTTGAGATTAAGACTTAAAAGAGAGAGGGAGCCGGGCTCAGTGGCTCAGCCTGTAATCCCGCGCCTTGGGAGGCTGAGGTGAGTGGATTGCCTGAGCCCGCGGGTTCGAGACCCGCCTGGGCAACTTGGCGAGACCTCATCTCTATAATAAATAAAAAAATTAGGGTGTGGTAGCGCGCACCTGTAGTTCCAGCTACTTGGAAGACTGAGGCGGAAGGATCGCCGGAGCCCAGCAGGTTGAGGCTGCAGTGGCCGCTCCTAGCCACTGCACTCCAGTCTGGGTGACAGACTGAGACTCCCACTCAAAAAAAAAAAAAAAAGCAGGGGGGACAGTTTGGTTGGTGGCAAGGTCATGGGGTATGGTTGGCTTGGACAGGCCAATGGTGTTACAGATCACAGTATTGAAGTGGAAAGGGGAACAGGGAATGAAATGGGAGAAGGGATTGGCCTTGGAATGGGACTTCAACCTCGAAACTCTAGTTTCAGATCCTTCCAAACTCACTGTCCAAGAAAACTCTTCTAAATTTCAGGCTACTTTAAGAAGTAATATTCTATTACCTGTAAATATACACAGTACTTCAAAGGTTGATAACGTTCTTTCATTCTAGGTGAGGCCATTAGGGAACCAGTTCCAATAACTAGAGAAATCTGTAAGACTATTTTATAATTGGGATATCTGTTTCTGTTATTCATTCCTGCTCATATTATCTAAATGCCTAGAATAAAAGCTTTGCTCTGCTGTGTTTAAAATGGTTCAAAATTACCAATTAGTTGAGTTTGCATAGAGAGGCATTTGACTCACTGAGTCGTTTTAAGAAGAATGTGACTTGCTTGAAGCTCCCCGCACTGGCCTGTTGTTCTGGCCTGTTGTTGGGCTTTTTCACTTGCTTCCTGGTCCATTCCATCTGCAGATGTGCCATCTTCTCTGGCAGAGAAGGGAGGGTGTGGTTGGGCTGGGCTCCCAGAGGCCATCTCTCCTGTCCTCTGCCCCTGTAGCCCTGCCACTCTCAAACCTCTACGAGACCCTGGGAGTCGTTGGAGCGACCACTACTCAGCTGTACACGGACCGCACAGAGAAGCTGAGGCCTGAGATGGAGGGACCTGGCAGCTTCACCATCTTTGCTCCTAGCAACGAGGCCTGGGCTTCCTTGCCAGCTGTGAGATGACCTCTGTGTACCCAGGGACTGGACTCTTACCAGGGATAGTCTTCCTTCCCCGAGGGGTGGGCATGAAGAATGGAATTCTATAGTCATTTCTTACTGTTTCAGGAAGCTTTTTACTTAACCCCTTAGATAATGCCAAGAAATGAGCTAAAATACAAGAGAGGACCCAAAAGAACCTGGAATTATCTTTTGGAGGGCAGGCCCCTCATAGTACATTCAGAATTTTTTCCTCTGGATCAAACAGTCAACCGAAGTTTTTATCTGGAAGTTTTGAAAAGGTTGTGTCATGATTTGTGGAAGAAACATCCCTAGATGTGGCAAACAGGGACTGGTTCTTCCACCATGAGAACATACCTGTCCCCACTGCACTAAGTGGTCAGCATTTTTAACCCCCAAACTGCATTAACCCTGTGCCCCACCCTCCTTATTTACCCAATCTCGCCCTGAGTGATTTTGTTGTTGTTGTTGTTGTTTCCTTGGATGAAAAAAGTCCTCAAAGGGAAACATTTTGCCAATGTGGAAGAGGAGAAACAAAAAGCAACCAAAGCTCTAAAAGGCATCAAAATTGATGAGTTCAGAAACTGTTTTGAACAGTGGGAAAAGTGTCTCAGTAGGTGTATTACATCAAATGAAGAGTACTTTGAAGGTGACTGAAATTTAAGCATGTAAGAGTAAATATGTACTTTATTATAACAAATTCCAGATTTTTGAGGTCCCCCCTCGTATACTTCATCAAGTTGCGCCCAATGTCCCATCTGCCCCATTGACAGACAGACCTTGATGCTCCCTGAGAAGGGATCCTTGGTAGGAGACAGGCCTGGGTTCACTGGGGCTAAAGAGCACGTTTCCCGGGTTGCAAGAACCCATCTCTTGAACACAGGGTTTGCAGCCCCTCACTGTTACCCTGTCCTTTCTCCTAGGAAGTACTGGATTCCCTGGTCAGCAATGTCAACATTGAGCTGCTCAACGCCCTTCGCTACCACATGGTGAACAGGCGGGTCCTGACAGATGAGCTAAAACATGGCATGGCCCTCACTTCTATGTACCAGAATTCCGGCATCCAGATCCACCACTATCCCAATGGGGTACGAGAATCCCCAGCCACACCACATGGCCCTTGGTCCACAATGAGTCCACTTCTGATCCATCTGTAGGCTAGTTTCTGGGGATTTGTTCCACAGTAGTGATAAGCTATAGATAATCCTTGCCTTCTTGTGCCTGCTTCTTCCTGGGCCCTCTAGTTCCACAGCTTGTGGAACCCACATTCTGTTACTATGTTTGAAAGCACTGTTTTCCCCTCGTGGGACTTTAAGGTTATTCCTCTCTGTTAACCGCTCATCTTTGCTTCTTCTCTGGGCAGATTGTAACCGTTAACTGTGCCAGGCTGCTGAAAGCCGACCATCATGCAACCAATGGAGTGGTACATCTCATTGATAAGGTCATCTCTACCATTACCAACAACATCCAGCAGATCATTGAGATCGAGGACACCTTCGAGACCCTTCGAGTAAGAGATTGTCCTCGGTGGAGGCTTAGGCTGGGGATATACCACCCCTCAAGGGGAGCCTGGCAGGACCTTTTCTACAGGAAGAGAAGAGGATGGCTCATGTGGAGACACAGGGAGTAGTTCCCCTGAATGCCATGAATCTGGAGAACCCACTGATCAGACGCTCAGTTTGACCTAACCTGTGAAATTCCCTCAGTCTGTCTTCTCCTTGTAAAACCTTCCTTTCTTCCAGTCCTTGGCTCCTTTGGAGAGGTCAGTGGTGTGTGACTGCAGTAGTCCTCTGAACCCTGGGCTGCCTGTGCCTGCACTGCAGGTTCTAGGGGTTACAGTTCCCACATGGGGGACTAGAATACATGGCCCATCAGGCTGCACGGTGCTTAAGGACCGCATGTCCCCACCCTCAGGCCCCTGCTCCGGTCATACCCATGTTCTCTGAGTGCTTAGACCAGCAGAAGGGCCACCAAGGTGGACACAGGAGCCTGGGGTCTGACTTGGTGTGACTTCTGACTATTCTGGAGCCCCCAGGAATACTGCCCCTCCACTCCTGCTACCCAGCAGGCATTTGTCTTACAACCGGAGGGCATGTGGGCATTCCTCTTGGCAGTGCTGCTCAGGAGGAAGTGAGCACAGGCTGCTTTGTCAGGGATTTTGCCCTGATTCAAGAACTTCCTAACCACAAAGGATACAAGTGGGAGTGGGGGCAGGCCCTCCCTGGAGATCTCCAACACAGAGAGACAAACACACTGGAGTTGGCTGGCAAGGATGGACCTCAGCACATAGGACAGCTCTTACTTCCCCAAGGGTTGGGCCTGGCTCTCTAAGCTTTTCTTCCTTGCTTTTCTTCCGGGTCACTCAAGGGCAGGGCTCTGCAAGAGAGTGATGTTCCCGCAAAGCGGATGGCGCATATTTTGATTAACAGCAGTGGATCCCTCTTACTATTTTGGTCTGGTAAATGTCCCTTCCTTCCTTCTTCCCCTTTGACTCTCCCTGGCACCCATCTTTCCTTCTTCTAACATACTTGAACAGCACCTACTACTTCCCAGGTAGTTCTATGTGCCAAGGATGTAGAGGTGAATGAGGAAGACGGATTTTCATCTTCAATGGAGCTAATATTCCATCTGGGGAGACAGACAAGAAACAAATTAGCCAGGTAGCCACAGCCACACACTGTGATAGACTCTGGGAAATGAGCGGGTAGATGATGAGCAATAGTAAGGGGGAGGATTGGAGAGCTAGGGAGGGCTCTCTGGAAGAGGTGGCTTTTGATTTGAGGTCTGAAGGATGGAAATGGGCCAGTTACACAAAACCCTGGGGCAGTGGAGAAGAGCCCACAAGTAGAGGCTCAGAGCAGCAACATAGGGAAGAGGCTAGTGGGTAGACTGAAGAGCACTCAACAGACAGAAGGCAAGACCAGAGCAGCCAGGCCAGATCCTGCGGGTCTTTGCAGAACAGGAGAAGGAGTCTTTCTCCATCCTGAGAGCAACAGGAAGGCACTACTGCCTGGATGTAGAGATTGGGAAATGTGATCTTTGCATGCATGGAGCTGATGTAAGTGATTACAAATGACTGGAATTGCAGTCATGTGAGAGTAGGCACTGCAGACATATCTACTTTCCTCTAGGGGTGGGGTGGGGTGGGGTGGGGAGAAGTACCAAGTTGACCTCCCAGAGAAATGATATTTTAGTCAAAAAAGGAATAAAGTCAGAGGAGCAAAGAAAGGGGGAAGGGCAGAGGAAACAGCAGGGGCAAAGGCCCAGAGACGGGAAGGAAGAAGGCTTGTTAAGTACCTGAAAGACAGACAATGTGGTTGGAACTCAGACAGGGTAAGGCCCTCTGGAGGCCATGGTAGGAGGTGAGCTTGATTCATCTTCTCTTCTCATCTTGGGCTCCTGCAAAAGCCTTGAGCCCTTGAGGGAGGATTGGCAAGCCTGTGTATCCACCTTGCTGCAGAGCACCCGAGGGACATCAGAGGGCACTCTGTCTTCACCCCTCCCCACAGGCTGCCGTGGCTGCATCGGGACTCAACACCTTGCTTGAGGGAGATGGCCAGTTCACACTTTTGGCCCCAACTAACGAGGCCTTTGAGAAGATCCCTGCTGAGACCTTGAACCGAATCCTAGGTGACCCAGAGGCCCTGAGAGGTGAGCATACTTCAGCTACTCTGCTCCCTTGTTGGAGCAACCAAGAGTGTAAGACCTACTCTAGTCTAAGATGGCCATGTCACCTGCCATGAGGCTCTCAGCATGTCGGGGACAGCTGGGACTTGGGACCATCCTGTTCCATTGCTCCCAGCTGGTCATGTCTCTGCAGATGCTGGAGCAGATCCCCGCCCTGACTCTGAGGGCTGACAGAATCCGGCAGCCTTTGTCTAGGGACACAGTTGGGCTGAGGAGGGAGGCAGAGTTAGAGATCCACAGCCAGCCCTGGCCAGACACAGGGAGCTTGAAAGTCTTGAATAGCCAAGGCCAGAGTAAGACTGGCAGGTGGAGGGGCAGCTGGGTGGTGTGGGGCAGGGGTGGCAGGTCCTGGCATCCTTAAAATGGAATCCTCATACCAACCCTTAACTCTTCATGTATGTGACCAGGGGCCTCATGGAAAAGTCAAAATTATAGTTAAAACTAGGAATAGTCAACTCTTGACTCTCTATTGTGGATTTCATCCTGCCCTCCCCAAAGTACTACTAAGTTAGATAGTGTGTTAATTATTGCTGGGGGAGAGGGAAGGAGCTGGCATGTGAGGAAGATTAAAAGGGGGGCTCTGCCCTCCCCATCTCTGCCCCCATGTACTCGAGGGCCTTTGAAGGGCCATGACCATGAAGCTACTGCCTGTTGATCCCTAAATCCCCTAAAAGCAGAATAGGCACAGGTCCCCTGTGCACGCCAGCCTCCCAAGTATAGCCCAGGATGACTTTCTCATCTATTTATACCCACCTGTTTTGCACTGTGCTATACAAAGTGCCTAATGCATTTCAGACATCCTATACATTTAAAATGTTCTCCTTCTGGCCATGCGGGGATGGGAAAGGACACATTTCTGAAAGCACAGATGGGATCTGTCTGTGTCCAGATGATTGCGGTGCCTCCATGTACCTGCCTGTGTTGGGAACTGAAGCCACAAAATAAAAATGGTACAGTCCTTGCCACCAAGGAAGTTAAGCCCTAGTGGGAATAGCAGGCTTAAAAACAGGTTGTTCTAGCTGATCTGGTAACTGCAATGACAGAGGCACAACATATCATGGGAAGGGCAGAGGCCGGGGCTCGTGCAGCCTCAAGGGTCCCATCAGCATTTGGAGCCATGTTCCCCTTGAAGACATGCTTTGTACAGAGCACATTTTTATCTTTGTAGATTTCAGAATGCCTTGTTAACTTTTGTAGGTTAAAAAGAAAAAAGCCCCTAATTCATCTTTTTTGCAAATCTGTCTTTTCCAACTCAGTAACTGGCCTGTTCAAAGTAGGGGCCATCTGTCTGGTTCTGTAGCTGCAGGCAAGGAGAGGGTCATAGGTTCACCATGGACAGTCTCTTGTTGTAGCTAGCAGGATAGCAGGCTGGCGAGAAGCAGCCCAGTACTGGCATGCCCAGTTTGAGGACTCATTTCCAGCCCTGGCCCTGCTTACCCTCCAAGTGGCCCTGGCAGGTCCCTTCTACCCCACCCTGGGCTTCAACTTCCTTCTCTGAGAAACTAAATCCCCTAGGCCTCATCCTCAAAGAGTCTGCCACCCTTCTTCCTCCTCCAACTGAATGTGGTCAGTACTGGCTTCCAAGGCTGTCAACACATCTGCAGCAGCCCAAAGTTTCTGCAAGGCCTCAGAGCTTCCTCCTGTCTGTGACAATGTGGTTTTGGTTCTCACACTCAGGGGCAGTATGAAACTCGCCTCTGTGGTGAGAAGACAAGACAAAGGGCCTTGGTGATCTTGGCAAATGGCAATCTGGGCACCTGTTCAACCTGGGGTGGGCTGGGGCATATTGTCCCTGACTGGTCCCTGCAGCTGTTTCCGTCCAGCCTGTGTGGGCCCTTCAAGGTGGATGGAAGCCAGCAAGAGACATGACTTGGTCAGGAGCCCTCCTCAGGCCCCAGCTCTGCCCTGCACCTAAACTAGCACTTGTACAAGCAAATAAATGATTATATTTGTTATTTATGGAGATGGGGAATAAGATGGCAAAGGCCATGTCTTACTGTCACAATTCTCAACCCCTAAGACAGACCCTCTTTTACATTTTTATAAATATCAGTAGATTATTAAAATTTCATGGTAGACGCTTAGATTTTTTTCTTTATTCCTGTACAGACTAATAGTCGCTACACGTGTTGAGCATTACTGTGATGTCAGGCTCCATGCTCAGTGCTCTACCCTCAATATTTCATGTCATCCCTACACCACCCCTAGGAGATGAATGCTACTCTTATCTCCACTTGACTGATGAGGACATTGAGACTCAAATCGGCTAAATGACTTGCCCAGAGTCCCATAAGCTGGAAAGTGGCCATGGGATTCAAGCCCAGGTCATCTAACTACAGAATTCCAGCTGCTTTCAAAAGTAGAAGGCAGGAGGAGAGGAGAAACTGGGCCCTGTTGTTCCCCAGCCTCATCTGAAAGTCTGGAATCCTCATTCCTGTGGACGGGCTGTGAGCTGGCCTCCAAGGTCATCCTGGAGCAGACCCTGACTTGACCTGTGTCTGTTTGACCCCCAGACTTGCTGAACAACCACATTCTGAAGTCGGCCATGTGTGCTGAAGCCATTGTCGCAGGGCTGTCTGTGGAGACCCTGGAGGGCACAACACTGGAGGTAGGCTGCAGTGGGGACATGCTTACCATCAATGGAAAGGCCATCATCTCCAATAAAGACATTCTGGCCACCAATGGTGTAATCCACTTCATCGATGAACTGCTTATCCCAGACTCAGGTAGGCCAGGCCTCAGGAGGCCTTGGTTCTCCCCAGCCCACTGTCCTTTATGCCATCCCTGGTGATAGGATCGGGGGGATTCAGGGCTCTTTGGGGTCATTTCTCTGGCTGGACCCAACTCACAACCTCGCAGCCACCACAGATTAGTAGGTTGTGGTCAGATGAGTTTTGAACTTCAGGCACGGGAGTCTAGACATTATCTTGGAAGCAGTGGAAAGCCATTGAAGGTGTCTGGGGATGGAGAAATACAATCAAAGAAGCCTTTCAGAAGGTCTGCCTGCTATAGTTGGGCACTGAGGGCCATTTGCTGACCTCGGAGTATTTGCTGTCTCAATAGTGCCCAAGTTACCCTAAGGGTCACTGACCCAGGGAGAATGACTTAAAGAACTTTGCCTTGTGTTTTATTCAGCATTCTAGACCCATTCTGGAATTTCAGGGAGATCTGCCCATGAGCGAAAGAATCTCACAGGAACAAGCACAAAACTCTTTCTGTGGGTGTGGTTGCTGGCCCTCTCAACTCTTCAGAAGCCATAACACAGGCAGTGCTGCCTTCCTCCCCTGCATTAGTACTCTGACCAAGCAGCCCCCCGGGGCCAGCGACAGAGGCTGACCTCTGCTGAACTGAAGCTCACTTCTCTTCCCCAACTGGTTAGATGTTCTGGGCGACTGTTCCCCAGATGACACAAACCCGCTGGGCCCCAGCAGTGTTTAGGGGATTGTTGACTCACGAGATGACATTCCTACTGATGTATGTCATGCCCTGGGGTAGATGAATGATAAACGAAAACAGCACTTTTAACTTTTGAACTCACTTTCCCCTTTCTTGTAGCCAAGACGCTATTTGAGTTGGCTGCAGAGTCTGACGTATCCACAGTCATTGACCTTTTTAGGCAAGCTGGCCTTGGCACTCATCTCTCCGGAAGTGAGCGGGTGACCCTCCTGGCTCCCCTGAATTCTATATTCAAAGGTAATGTGGGGAACGCATCCCTGTTAGTTTGCCTCTGGAGGCAGCCTCCTCACCCCCTGTTACCTCCACACATACTCCCCAATTTACAGCACCCCGTGGAACGTTAGAACTTCCACGCCTCTCAACCGAAAGCAGATGTGGTTTCAGCAGAGACCCTGCTGTTCTGCCAGGCAGAGAAGAGAACACACTTGGGGATCTGTTCCTCAGAACTCCAGACGTTGCATCTGTCAGGAGAGCAGAGCCTCCCCTTGCCGTTTTATTTGCAGAGTCCATTGCCAATGTCTAGTCAGGAGGTCAGAGTGAGGATACAGCTGAGTTGCAGCCTCAGGAAAGCAGGGAAGGGGGCCAAGTTGTGTGCGTGCCTGCCCACCCCATTCAGGGCAAAACTCCAGACACCCTTGGTTATCTGGACCTTTTTTTTTTTTTCTCTGCAGAAGATGCCAGATGTTAAGGAATATTGGCAGCCTCACTTGATTTCTCAATCTCTCTTTCCAAACTCGAGGAGGGACAGGCTTTTCACTGCATTCGTCACTTATCATTCTCTCCATTTCCAGAACAAGTCTCTCTCAACCTCACCACACCTTCTCTTGCAGATGGAACCCCTCCAATTGATGCCTACACAAAGAACTTGCTTCTGAATCACATAATTAAAGATCAGCTGGCCTCCAAGTATCTGTATCACGGACAGACCCTAGAAACTCTGGGCGGCAAAAAACTGCGAGTTTTTGTGTATCGTAATGTAAGTTCTGGGCCCTAAGGCTCCTTGTTTGGCTCAGCTCTAAGAAATGGAAGTTGTATTCATGTGGGGAAAAAATGTTCTCAATAAGCAAGGGCTTGCATGAGAACTGCCTTCTCGTAAGAAAGGAAATAATTTCTGGAAAGTATGTACAATATCAAAATGAAAACCTACAGAAGAATTAGAATCTCTTGTTCTGGAGGCCTTTGAGAATGAACCACGTGCCTGTCTGACATGGGTTTTTCAGCAGTAAATCCACCTTGAACTCAGGAATGGACACATGGGAGAAGGGATGGGGTTTGGAATCCTTCCAAGCTTATGTGGAGAAAAGCCCTTGAACTGAAGCACAGCCCTGTGTGCTCCAAAGGGTCTCTCCTCCCTTCTCCTGTCTCTTCTCTGTCTTCAAACCCAAAAGCTACCATGGGATATCAAGTAGGAAGCACAGCTCAAGATAGGTCTTGGCTGGGACTCACCACACCATTTGGCTAAAGATAGTTGTCATCTGTTAAATAAATAAGTAAATGGGTTCCATCTATTTATTTGATCACTGTCAATGGACCTCATATGAAAGGTATTCCCATTAGGGGGACTCTGTGTGACTTTATTGTGGCCTCTATGGCCATTCTTTCCTTTAAAGAAGACCATTTTGTTTTGTTTTCTGGATAAAATATGTCATTTTATCCAAGTTTTGGTGAGCCACCCCGATATGTACACTCATTGATCTTTGTAGATGATGCCCTCAGCACAAGCCCTGGACAAACTGGAAGCCCCTTTTGCGAGGATACCCAACCCTTTCTTTCTCTACTTCTCTTCTATTTAGAGCCTCTGCATTGAGAACAGCTGCATCGCTGCGCACGACAAGAGGGGGAGGTATGGGACCCTGTTCACTATGGACCGGGTGCTGACCCCCCCAATGGGGACTGTCATGGATGTCCTGAAGGGGGACAATCGCTTTAGGTAACTTGTCCCATTCCAGGGTGGGGCTTCTGGCAAGTGTTCATGCTGGGACAGGACACTGGGCCTCAGCTATTTGTCAAACGTCCACTTACCTTAGGAGTCAGTGCACTGTTGTGACCTTCTGGGCTGGGGGCTGGGAAGGGATGAGAATCACCTTGAAAGCTTAAGTTGGTAATAGAGGTTACTTCCGGGAGTGTAATCCTCACACCCATGGAAGCAGGGAGGGGGAACTGCTTCTTTATTACCTAGGTGCAAGGAAAACCTCACTGTCTTATTGCAAAGGCCCAGGTGAGCTGAGAGCACGTGGTTTTGAGTGTGATAAGTCTTTCACTCTCTATGCAGTGTCTATGCCTTTCACTCTGTATGCTATGTCTACTTTTTGCAGCTGAAGCCCCTATGTCCGTTTGTTTTCTTGCCCTGCCTTCTCCATTTCTGACTTGCTCATTTATCCCAGGTACTATCATATAGAGTGTTTCTCTGTCACTGACTTCAACCACCTGCACAAGGGCCTGGGAGACTAGTAATCACATCTCCAAGGCCCAGTGGTTCAGCCAATCTCTGGGTCAGCCATGCCTCTGCCCTTTCTTCTTCCTCCTTCCGCCTTTGGCCTCAGACTTCTGGCCATCTAACTGAATTTGGCATTTGTGCTGGGTAGAGAGAAGACGCAGACTGGACTAGTTCTGTCTGTGCATAGGGAGCTTGTGAAAACCAAGCTGTGTGCATCCCAATGGTCTGGGCTTACTGCCCCCAGTGGTAAGGTATTTGAGAAAAATGTCTCTCTGACCTAACAGGTGACATTTTCTCTGTGTGTATTTGCAGCATGCTGGTAGCTGCCATCCAGTCTGCAGGCCTGACGGAGACCCTCAACCGGGAAGGGGCCTACACAGTCTTTGCTCCCACAAATGAGGCCTTCCAAGCCCTGCCACCAGGAGAACTGAACAAACTCTTGGGTAAAGACCAACTTAAGTACACATTTACACTTCTCTAAAGTAACCATCCATTAGGGCCACAGCAGGAAACAGTCAGTACATTAGGAAGGGGCTTGCTCGAGGTGATTTAATGACAAGACTGACTATTTGTAGAAGTGTGGACAGGATGAAGGAAACCAGCAAGTCTGACAATGATGACACCTAGGGACTAGCAACTATGGGAAGCCTTTATTATCCCTAGTCCTGGAGGATGGGAGGGTGAGGGCAGAAACCAGAGAAGACTTGAGCCTTGGACACAGAGCACAGAACAGCAGCTGATACCATGTGCAGCCACGGTCAAAACTGTGACAAAGGAGCCCACTCAGTGCTTGAGCTCCCCTTTCCTCCCACATGCCAGCTGCCGGCTGAGTCTCCCGTTGGCTAAGTACAGGAGGGCAAGGGAGCCTGCATGATGCAGTTCATAGAGGGCAGCCTCCTGGGGCATCAAACGGCAGAGAGTGGAAAGGAACTGAGGGTAGACATGACCAGTCCAGTCATGAGGCATGTTTTCCCCTGGAGACCTGTGAGAACAGTGGCAATGAAGCCATATGCCTGCATGAAATGTCCCTCAGGATAAAAGCTTTCCCAAGAACTTAGTCATGACCGTTAGAAGTCTAGCTGAGGCTGTTTGGGAGGCAACCCACTGGTTGGGATGGTTAACAAAAAGGAGGACAATAAGAGTACCTTGCTCACTGTGTTGTGAGGATTAGATGCCATGTTGCACACAGCACCAGGCACACATCCCCAGGCAATAGCAGCCATGATGGCAGGAGGTGGGATGGGAGTTGCAGTGTCTAGCTCTGATGCACGTCCATGGGAGATACTTCCACTGTCACAGAAAGATGTGTCTGAGAAGGAGGAGGAGGAGGGAGGACCTTGGCAAACCTTGCATCCCATGTTGTCTTCACCTCTCTTCCTGCTCTGGTGCCAGAGAATAGAAAATGTGTGGTGCAGGCAGCTCTGAGGTGAATTTGTGTCCTGTTTAATTTTCTTTATTGCTAAATGAAAGCCTGTGTCTGTGATCCTGACGTAGTTTCCTGGGAAGAGGGGAGAAGTTCATTCTGAACATAAACTTTCCATCCTTTCTCCATCCCGCAAAATGGAATATTCCCCAGGTGGCCTGAGCCTGCTCGGCTTCCCTCTCATTTCCAGTGATGTGGGAGCAGAGGAAGGGCATGGGGAAAGCTTCCCAAACTCGCCCTCCCTCAGGCCTGCAGGCACCCCTGGGGGGTGGAGGGTGGTCCAGGTGTTAGAAAACTCAAAGGAAGGAGGCCTCTGGAGTCCCAGGAGCTAGCCCTGTACCTCCAGGCAGTATTTTTATGGAAGGGGAACCTTGTCAGCTCCAGGTTGTGGATGTTTGGAAATCACTTGGTATCCAGTGGCTTCATCCTCTGGCACTCATGTGGATTTGTCAATAACCAAGTGAACTCTCCGAAATCCTTTAAAACATCCTCCATTCTCAGTTTCAAGATGCTGGAAATAGCTCTTCATAAGCCCTGGGGAAATTCAGCCATTTGGCTGGTAATGGGAGAATCAGAGATGAGAGGGCAGCTGGAAACCTTAGGAATTGCCTCCCACACTTAATTTGGGAAATGCCTGTGCACCTTTATGGGCAATCAGATGCCTTCCCCAGTCACTGGAGACACTGATGTGGGCTGAAAGGAATGCTGAGACGCGACGAGGAGGGAGGCTGCAGAGGGAATACCCCCCTCAGCCCTGACCTCATCGGCTCCATGGTTCCTCCACAGAGCAGCTGTTGACTCTTTTAAGTTCTCCCTTCAGGAAATAGCCGTCTCAAACAGAATATGCATTTGAGGGCAGAATGTGTAAATATTGCACTACTGTGTTATAACTGTCGGGAGCCACGCCGATGATGAAACGTCCCAGATGCTGGTGCTGGAAAGGTCCCTGGTTTTCCAAGCAAATATTTAGCTCATGGAAATATGAGTCATCATCACAGAGGAGTATGGATTAACTCCTTCTCAGCAGACAGGGAGCCCAGCATCCCAGAAAGTACAGGCTTATCCAGCAGTAGACTGACTGCAGGGGCAGACTCACGGCTATGAACTTGTGCCTTGTGTCCACTGACCATTAGGCAGATGTTGGGTCACAGAGTGTACAGTGAGTGCTCAGTGATTGCTTATTGCCTGGGCTCATTTCAGAAGTGATCACTTGCATCTTCTCCTGGGTTCTCCTTGACTATGCCGATTACCAGTCTTAGGATTAGCTCTATCTTCTGTTTCCACAAATCTGCAGGAAATGCCAAAGAACTTGCCAACATCCTGAAATATCACGTTGGTGATGAAATCCTGGTTAGCGGAGGCATCGGGGCCCTGGTGCGTCTGAAGTCTCTCCAAGGCGACAAACTAGAAGTCAGCTTGGTGAGTGTGTCTGTAAATCAAAAGGATAGCTGTGCCCTGCCGCCAGGGCTCCAGGGCACATCTCACCCCCGGGATGGCAGTAGACACACACACAGCCTTTAAGGTGCAGCCTGAATCTCTGAGTACAATTTGTTCAAAGAAAGAGAGAAAAGACAATAGGGGCTCCAGAAAAATCAGGTAGGATTATAGTTGGACATGAGTAAGAAGTTCCAGATTTTCAGGGGAATAGGGCATCTGAGATGGTAGAAAGTTATGTGGCTGGAGCAATCAGTCTCTATCCTCACCCCAGCCCACCCCCCAAATCTCAGGGATTCACTGAGTTCCACCATGAACCAGATCATCCCAAGAAGCCTTTTTAGTTCTGATGCTTGCTCTGCTGCTGCATGTTGGTGGTACAAATTCCTCTTCAGAACTGTGCACAGAGCAACCCTACCTTGGAGAGAAAACAGATAGCTAGCCCTGCTCCAGAAACTTCCCTAACTGCTCATGGCCACTGATCACCCTGTGGCAGGACCACTCTTCAGTGTGTGGCTGATTTCTGCTCCTTGCTCCTGATTCCTGGTCTTTACTCATTCTTTGCTCACTGGTTTCTCTCTCAGGGCATGGGAAGATGTGTAGGGAGGTAGGCATGGGAATGACTTTTTGACTTTGGCAAGTTGTCCCAAATCTCCCAGCACCTACTTTTAAATATTTGTTTCCTGTCTGTTTCAGGCTTCAATGCTCCCTTCCCCCTTGTGTCCATGGCATGGGCCCTTTAGGAAGGCCTGGGATAGCTTTACCCTGGCTGAACTTCCTGTGAGAAAATCTTAAGTAGAGTACCAGGCAAAGTGTAAGGAGCCTTCAGCCCAGAGCTGGAGGCCAGCTTCTGTTCCCAGCTGTCCCGTCTACTTTTCCTCTCTTGAGTTTCAGTGTCCCCTTCTGCTAAATGGGGCAATAACACCCACCCTTCTTACCGTATACTGCTGTGAGGACTGAGTGGATCACACAAAAGAGCATTATGGAAATACGATGTGCTGAATCCACATGAGAGATTAGAATTAATCCACCAGACTGAAGGTCTGTTAAGAGCAGGAATAGTTTCATTTACCAGAGTATCCCCATTACACGCACAGGACCTGGCATATGTAAGTGTTCAGCAAATGCTTGCTGAATGAATAAAATCAATATGCGGTACTTATCACCACTGCTCCCTATTTTTCTCTCAGAAAAACAATGTGGTGAGTGTCAATAAGGAGCCTGTGGTGGAGTCTGACATCATGGCCACGAACGGAGTGGTCTATGCCATCACCAGTGTTCTGCAGCCTCCAGGTAAGGCCTCGAGTGTTCCATTCCCCGTGACTCTGCAGCCAATTCTTCTCTACACGTGGCAGTTGGTACTCAATGGAGAAGCCGTTCTAAACAACGGTCGGGTGGTTGTTATGCTATGCCTACGTGGACAGCATCCCAGTGACTCATTGCAGAGTAAATCGGGAGCTGATAGTTTCAGCTCCCACTTTGTGAAAACGCGTTGCTCTTTGCTGAGTTGAGTTGCCTAGCAGTCTTGGCTCCCCTCAGACACAGCCCAGTTGTCTGCTCACATGTGAATGCTGGGCATGTGGTTCCACGACTCATCTTGCAGGCCTTCACCTCATGTGTGCTTTTTGCCTCTAATATAGTTGAACTTCAGGCCTCAGCCATGCATTCACCTTTCTTGGAGCTCTCTCTCTCCATGGACCAAACTTCAGCATGAGTTAAGGAAAGTTATAGCAGAAAAATGTATGTGGAAATGTGAGCCAGAAAGCCCCCCAGCACCCCTCAGCTATAGTTGCTACAAATAGCATGCTAATGGTTTCTCTCTCTTACCAAAGCTGCCTTTTCTCTCCTCTTCAGTCAACAGACCTCAGGAACGTGGGGACGAACTTGCAGACTCTGCGCTTGAGATCTTCAAACAGGCATCAGCGTTTTCCAGGGTAAGACGCCTGCTAGGTTTACGCCTAGCCTAGGGAGTTTGGGTCCTCAGTTTGGGCCATGGAGGGGACTCTCTGGCCCCTGTCTTCCTGGCTGCTCCCTTGGGGCTCTTTCAAAACTTCTCCCCACTTCCACTGGGATATCCTTAGCCCAAGCCTATGTCAAAGTCAGAGGAAAAGCACCCAAGAAGCCCCTGCTTCCTTTGTGGCCAAAGTCCAGGCCTTCGTGTAGAGGATTCTGAGCCTCAGTTCATGGAGAAGCCACTGCTGGTGAGAACAGATGCAGCTCTGGAATCTATCCTGAGTTTGACCTGAAATGGCATGGCCTGCTCTGAGTCACTCTTCTGCTTCCCGTGGCACTGCCCATCCTGGGTGATACTGGAGCTCTCCTGGGCAGTGTGCAGATTCTGGATACAGGAAAACTGAGCCATGTGTGGGGCCCTCCCTTCCTTGCCTCAGCCCCACCTCCCTCTCAGAACCTCTCTGACTCTGAGCTTCATTTCCTGCTCCTCGACTTGCCTAGGCCCAGGAGTCCCATGCAGGATCCTTTGCTGCTTTGGGTCAGGTGGTGCCTTCTTAGGAATTTGGGGCGCTTACAGAAGGCTTGCATTTCAAGAGAAGAGGTTGCAGGGCACCCCCGAACCTAGAGGCCTGGAGCTCTAGCATGTCACATCACTTTTGAACAGAGGGATCTCCTTCATGCCCTCAAGAAAGTCTTTGAGCTCCTATTCATGAGAACCACTCCTGTGCAGTCCCAACTCCCCCAGCTTTAGGCTCTAGTCTCAGTGGGAAAGTCTGGCTTGGAGGTCTCCAGGAATGTCCATCTTAGAGCCCCCTTAGGGGCTCACACAATTTAGGACTGCCAAGGCCAACTGAGAGGCTCCCTAAGGCCCTTCAAGTCCATTTTCCCCTTCCTCTTCTTTACCCCAACATTTTTTCTGAGTAGGGGTAGCCTTAAACAGGTGCAGGTATAATTTTTCACTAGAAAACCTGATACCTTGTGTTTTTTTTTTCAGGCTTCCCAGAGGTCTGTGCGACTAGGTAAGTCTGGTCTGGGTTTGAAGTCCTCGCAAACCGTTTGGGCCTTACCCCAAGCAGGCCCAAGCCTGCCATCTGCTATATGTAGATATGAGCATCATGGTGCAATAAAACAAGGCTGGTCTTTGGGGACAGACCAGCAGGGTGAACTGGGGTCAGACCCAGAACACCCAATTTCCTTCTCCATGATGGAAACAATAAGGGCAACAAAATTTTAGGGTTGATATGAGTTTTAGCCTTTTGGCAGGAGCCCATAATGAGGGTGTGGTTTCAGGCTGTCAGGTGTAGATAATCCCAGAACACCAGGCATTGAGTAATATGTAAAGTTGCAAAGACCAAAAAGCAACTGCTGTGTGCAGGAGAGCGGGGCAGAAGGGCATTCGCCCATGTCCCCAAGATTCTGAGAGTGTCTTAGGCATGGGGAAGTCTGCATTTTTTCACCTTTCAAACTTCTCTTTTTCAGCCCCTGTCTACCAGAGGTTATTAGAAAGGATGAAGCATTAGCATGAAGGACCACAGGAGGAATGCCACAGCAGCTCCACACCAGTATCTCTCAGTTTTCCAAAGAGACTGTTTGAATGTTTTTGCAACCAAATATCACACTTCAATGTACATGGTCCACACCACAATGAGATTTGAGCCTTGGGCAGGTGGGAGGAAGAGGGAGAGAGACATACTTTTTATATTTTTTTCCCCTAAGTGTGGAGAAACTTGGATGTCACTGTCTGACATCCACTTCCTGAAAGGACCTATTCCAAATGTGGGATTTCCTACCTTTGCCAAGTGCCTGGAAAAGGGAGCTGCAGTACTGTGGGGCTCACAAAACATGAATCAAGCAATCCAGCATCATGGGAAGTCTTGGCACAGTTTTTGTAAAGCTCTTGCACAGCTGGAGAATGCCGTCATTATAAGCTATGAGTTGAACTGTTGTATCAAATGTCTCGCATCTGCCTGTGGTTTGGATGCTTCTATGGGGCCCTGTCCAGGTAGAAAAGAAATGGCATGTAGAGCATGTAGAGCCCAAATATCCCAAGTGTGACAGCGCCATGGTGTGTTTGTAATAATAAAACCAAAGAAATGTATGCCTTGTGGGCGTTACTTTGTGCTGGCCTGGGTATTCAGGAAGAGTGGGTCTCTGTTCCTTAGGGGCTGCCATGCTCCTTGATTCCACTCAGGAGCAGCCTAGCAAGGAATCCTGAGGAACAGTCTTTGGGAGATTCCAGTAGCTGGTCCTCAGATACCCAGACAGCTCATGGGGAGTTGAAGCTAAGTCTCTGTTGAACTTGTTTTCAAGTCGACCTCCAGCCCTGGGGCTCCCAGCCTTCAGTGTTCACTTCATCCAGCACTTTACTCCTCTTATTCCTTTGAAGTATCTTCCCTCCTGCATGGTGATCCCCTGCCTTTGTGTTGGATTTTTGAATCCTCAACACTCTTTGTGAAATGGTTGCTACCACAGTCCCAATAGACAGATGAGGAGACCAAGGCTCAGGAAAGGGAGAACCACTGGTAACACATAAAATGGCCAAACTGGGACTGGAACCCAAGTCATCTGACTCCCAGGAACCTCCATTTGACAGAAGAATTAAGTCTAGGTTTTCCAGGCCCATACCCTCTAGGTAGACTTTCATGCCAATCCCTTCCCCTGCCTCCTTAATCTCTGACATCTAGAATGCCCTCAGATATTTTGAGAGGCAGTATCATGTGACTGAGGTATCATGCTCTCTACCTGTGTGGCCTTGGGTTGGTCAGATGACCTCTCAGGGTCTCCTCCTCTGTCCCAAGGAGATGACTATCACTTCTACTTCATGGATCCATCATGAGGATGAAATAAGCCATATAAAATGCTTGGTGCAGCATTAAATGGCCTTATTGTTATCCTGCTGTATGGAACTGCTCGGGATCAATGTAGCTAAGCGCCTTTATTTGTGTCCTTCCCAAAGGCAGCCCACTTTCTTGGAGAATAGGATAGACCTTCTGCCCACCCACACACCCCTCTGCCAAGGCTGCTTCACTCCAGCAGGCGGAGCTCATTCCACTTCATGGACCCAATGACCCAAAGATACGTCTACAGCACTACTGCTGGTCAGTCCACTGCTGCTGGGAATAGAGTGATGGATGAGACAAAGTCCTTCCTTAAATACCTTCTAGTCTGGAGAAAGACAGACATAACATCAGTTTATTAAAATGATTCATCCATGTGTTCCACAAATATTTGTGGGGGCCACCTAGTGTACCCCCATATTAGGCCCTAGAGAACAGATGTGTCCTTGTTCTCATGAAACTTCCCTCCTGAGGAAGACAATTGTCAATCAGCTGATGGCACTACAGACTGTGTGTCCATGTAGACTGAAGGCCAGCACTGTGGTTCTCCAGCAGATAACAAAGCAATCAGAGGAAGGAATACCCAGGCATTCTGAGGCATGGGAGGAGAGGAGAGGAATGGAAGGAGCTCAAGTAGAGTGGAAGAGGTCATGTTAGGGTGGCTCAAGGAGAAAGCGCCTCGAGAGGTGAGGCTTAGCTTTACATGTGCACCCAGTTCCCATCATTTCCCCATAGCTCTGACATGCTTGCCCCACCTCCCAGGCAGTCACACAGACTGGGGCTGCCAGCGAGGGCCTCACTCATGCTGGGAATCCTGCAGCTATGCCTCACTTTAAGCACCCCAAGTATACTCATCTCTACCAAGACAGCCTCAGAGCCCAAAGTGATGATCAGTATAACTTTTAAAGATCCTTGAATTTAAAATAAAAATCACCACGGGAGTCCTTATAAATGCCAAATGCTAAAATGTGTGTTAAAGTTCCTTCCCACTTCTCCCCTCCATCTGTCCCTGTCACCTGCTCCCCACCCTATCCTTGCCCCAACTCCCTAGTAAAAGAGTCTCCACTCTATTCTCTAAAACTCCCCAGGAGTCCTCCTCTGACTGAGAGCCATGGGCAGCCTTCCCCTCCCAGCCAAAGAGGGTCAAGTTTCCGTTTCTAAGTCCTAAGCACCCATACCCTTTCTGTTTCTCACGGAGACTCAGGCTAAGCATTAACTAGGGCTGCCATCTAGAAGATGGGTCCCTGGGGCTGAGGGGTCAGCTAGCTACTGAGTGTTTCCAAGGGTGAATGACTGGGGAAGGGAGGTGTGCCCACCCTATCAGAAGGCCAGAGGGCAGCTCAAACCAGAAGGAGGTTGCTCAGACCTTGCCTGAGTGCTGAACACAGATCCCCAAGCAAGGAAGAGGAAAGAGATGAAGAGGAAGGGACTCTGCTTGGTTTATTTCTCTCTTTGCAGTTATTCCGGTACTACTAGACTTTCTGGGATGCAGAGAGGACTGCAAAAATCCTCAACATGGGGGCCCAGAGACCTCCCAAGATGGGCTGTGGCCTCCCCACACAGGAAGCAGAGTGGCTTAATCCTGGCTTCACTGGCCAACTGAGAAACCACCTCAGCAATGGGAGCCAGAGAGGCCCACAGTACTGAGCCATGCCCCTACATGCACTATGTGTTCTATCCCTTACACTGATGCTATGAAATTGTTAAGTGCTATTCACATTCTCAGTTTACTGCTGCAGAAATGGAGGCTCAGAAGGGTAAAGTGGTTTGCCCATTCACAGAATAGGAAGAGACTGAAACACCTGGCTCATTTGATTCCTGAACCTATACCCTTAATCACACTGCTGCCTTCTGCTCAGCCACACCAGGGGTCAGTGAGGAGTCACCAAGGAAGCCTTGGGCAGCTGGACATGGGCACCAGAGCAATCAAAAGGGCTCAAAACTCCCAGCCCTCTTGAGATGTCCCCATGGGCCTGGTCTCTGCTTGCATGGCCTAGACCATATCTTGTTCATGTTTCCGGGGATTGAGGGAAGATCAGCAACAGCCATGGATGCTCTAGTATCACATGGATGTCAGGAAGGAAGGAGGAAAACACCTTTGTGTTTGAAGCTGTAATCTAATGTTATGCTCTTAAATGAGCTTCCTGGAATATTGGGCTCAGAATTATTTTCAAAGCCAGGAGAAAAAGTCATGGAATAAAGGCTGGGCCCGATGCCCTGTCCAAAGAAGTCAAACGGGGCCACCTTGGGCCATCCCTGCCTGACAAGGAAAGAAACACATCCACTCTGGAGAGCCAGGCCAGAGAATAAATGGTAGAGGGCGGGAGGCTGGAACAACCCTCTACACACACAGACACACACAGACACACACAGACACACACACACACACACACACACACACCCTCTCACACAAACACACATGCACACATATACTCTCATACGCATTCCCACACAGGGCCTCAGAGACCCAAGACAGAGCCTCAAGCATAGACAACTTGTTCTCTACTTCCACTTGTGAGTAGGGAGAAGACTCCAGGACCTGGGGGAGGAAGGCAGCAGCCTAAGCTCTAGCCTCAGGCTGGTTGGAGGAGAGTCCATGAGCCATCTGCACTCAGCCAGCCATGCAAACCCTTCTGTGTCAGGGCCACTTGCCATCGGTGAAGAAGGAGGTGGAGTTCACTGAGACCCGAAGGATGAAGAGGCTGAGGAAGAGAATTCAGGCTGACTAACCATGTCATAAAGCCTCTGAGACAAATGCAAGACAGTTTTGTGTATCTAGAGATGACAGAAGAGAAAATTCCCCTGATGAGAGGTCAGGAAGCCAGACTTAGTACTTTGGGTACTATTGACAGCTTAACAATATCATGTCTTCTGTTTGTGAACATGGGGTGTCTTGCTATTTATTTATGTCTTCTTTAACTTCTTCCAACAATGTTTTGCAATGTTCAGTGTACAAGTCTTTCACATACTTGGCTAATTGATTCCTAAGTATTTAATACCTTTTGGTGCTATCATAAATAGAATTATTTTCCCAATTTCCCAATTAAAAAGAAATGTTTTGTTTTTGGTGTGAAGTGGAAAGTAGGAATGGAGGCTGGGAAACCAAGCAGGAGACTATTACAGTCATCCAGGCAAGAAGACATGATGGAGGACCTGTATGGTAGCACTAGAAATAGAAGGATTTGGAGGGATTTGGGATGTATTTTGGAGGTTAACAGACAGGACTTAAACCTGAATTGGAGGAGTGGTATGAGTGAAAGACAGGATTCACAGACAATGTCAAGGCTTATGCCTTAAGTACAATAGCTGAAAGGTGGTGCCATTTTTTTTCTAAAACGCAGAAGAACTGGAAAAAAGCTTCTGGTAAAAGGAAACTAAGTGTCTACTTTGGATATTTTAAGTTTGAGGAGGCAATTAAACATCCAAATGGGATGTTGAAAATACTGTTAGCTATTCAAGCCCAGATTTCAGGGAAGAGGCCTAGGTGGAGATGGGGGTTTAGGAGTTATCAGATACAGGTGCTATGTAAAAACAGTTACTAGATAAGATCACCTAGGGAGAGAGTGCAGATAGAGAAGAGTGCCTAGGACAGAGCTCTAAGTTGCTCCAGCATTTAGAGATCTGGCGGAGGAAGAGACACATGCAAAGGGGTCTGAGAGTTTGTATGAGGGAAGAGGGAGGTCAGCCTCTCAAGGACAAGCATCAACCGCGTTGAATTATTGTTGTACCTGATGGGTTTAGCCGCATGAATGATGGGTTTAGCAAGAGCATTCTCTGAGGAGGTGAGAGGACTGCATCTGGAGTGTGGGGGAAAGGGGCAGAAAAGGAGGATGCATACTCTGGTGTGAGTGCTTGAATGGATACCATTTTTTCCAGGATTGAAAACCTACAGGTATATGAAAAACTAGAAACCTACTTCAGTCTCATCCTTCATGTGTGGATCAGAAGTTCTTTCTTTTATCCCCGTGCATGTGTCACCACAGCCTCAAAGACTCACCTGGGGGTAATTTCCTGCTTCCTTTTTGGCCTTCTCTGCTAGGTGGTGAGCTTCTCAGAGGTAGTATGGACTCTGTCCAGATCCTAGCACAGGGCCTGGCACACAGTAATCAAAAGGAGCTAATCCAAAGCCTGGTTTCCAGAGAACAAATGGCCCCTTTACTCGGCAAGGTGGGTTCAGGTCCCTCTTACTCTCTAAAAAGGGGAGAAGAGGATTCCCCAGACACTTGGGATATCCTTCTGGGGGCTTCCACGTGTGTG